ACACACACACACACACACACACACACACACACACACACACACACACACACACACAGCTGGGGAAAACTTAAAATAATCACTTCTGAGTTGACACAAGAAAAGAACAATAGAAATTTTATTACAACATTGTGTTTAATCTAGATCCCTGAATGGAGCTTGTTGCGTTTCATAGAAAGGAATGGAGGACAACCCCTCAATTGCAAGCTGCCCTCTGAAAGTTATACCAAGTGGTCAGGGATTGCCCACGTGATAGGATGTTCAGACTGTAAGAGACATGAGCTGTCAACATTCAACATAAAACAAGAAGACAGTCAAGTTACATGAAGCCATTTAATAGGAATAAAAGGACCATAGAGTGATGTTACCTTTGCAATAAGCACTGTTTATCTAATCATCATTGGTAATATCCTCTCTGAAGGTGGAAAGGACAGGCTGCCGGCACAGCCAGGGGAACCAGACCCGACACATTCCTCCCAGATTACACCTCCCATCTCCTCAGACCCACCTCAGGCCCCTGCTGAGAACAACGACTTCTGTTCCTGTACTGTGCCTTAGGGACTGGCCTGCCACCACAGCAAACAGGCTCAAGGAGAGAAGCTTTGACTAAACTACAGAAGTCTAATTTAGGGTTTTATACATATTAACCAAAAACAATGAAACACACACACCACACACACACACACACACAAACACAAGAGGGGCAGTAGGGTACACACCTGTAATCCCAGCACTTGGGAAGCAGAGGCAAGAGAATGGCTGCAAGTTTGAGCCTTGTCTGCTCTATACAGTTCTAGGATAGCTCCAGGCTAGTCACGGTTACATAGTAAGACCTTGTCTCAAAAACAGTAGCCAAAAGAAGAGCCCTAAGCTAAAGTCCACACAGACACTGCTGATGTAGAAGCCCGATGGACAAGGAGCAAAGCAGCAGAGCCGACAGTCACCCTTCCTCATCACTGCTGCTCCAGGCATCCTCAAACGCTGGATTCAGCTGGGATTTGGTTGCAACCTAAAGAGAGAGAGAGAGAGAGAAGGGGTGGGGGTGGAATCTGTTTTATTGTATTTCATACTTTTAGGCTCATAATTGTTATGAACAGGCTATAAAACATCAATTCGATTATTTGGACAAGGTATTACTGCTAATTTAAAAACAAAAGTAATGTAAAGATAATGCAAATTCATTTAAAACTGACAAAGCTTATTTTTCCCTCATAATCTATTTCCTTCAAAGCCATCCCTTCACAAATGCATGTATAGATCTACACAGTTCCAAAGGAAACCCAATAACAACTCTGCTTGACCATCTGAGATATGCATTTGAAAATGCCCCAAGTTGTCCCAGGGTAACAGCGTCACGGCAGAACCAGGTCTGACCTAGGTTTGCCTGACTCTAAGGAGGACTGGTACATGTATATGTATGTTCTTTGTGTTATGCTGAACTATGCAGCCACAAACACAAACTATGCAGCCTTCCTGGGAAATGGCAAGTTACTCATTTAACAGCTCAGAGAAAACAGTTCAAACATGAGTTAAACTGTAAACATTCACATATGCAAGCCATTCTCATTCCAACTGACTTCTCTCCTGGGGTACACAACAGTCACATTCTACCTGCATGCACACGAACCTATTAAGAGTAACATTTCATGGAATCAAATAACCTTAGCATGTAGCACTTTACATTAAAGAGTTATTCACATATTACAATTGAAAATAGGAACAGTATATTTTATTTATTCATTTTTGTATTTCAAAACAAGGTTTCTTTGTGTCATCCTAGCTGTTTTGCAACTTCTGTAGATCAGGCTGGGTCTTGAACTTAGAGATCCACCTGCCTCTGCCTTCTAACTGCTAGGGTTGTACATGGCCACATCCAGCTTATTTTATTATTTTTATTGAAAATTCATTAAATTTTTATTCAAATTAAAGTTTTGTTAAAAATAAAAATATTTATATGTATGGATATTTGCCTGTGCACTACTTATATGCCTGGTGCCTGCAGATGCCAGAAGAAAGCATTAGCTAGCCCGGGACTGGAAGTGTAGATGACTGTCATCCCCGTGTGGGTGCTGGGAATTGAATTCAGGTCTAGAAGAGGGCACAAGATAGCCTGGGACTGGAGGTTACAGGTGACTGTGGGCCACTCAGGTCCCCTAGAAAATCGGCCAGTGCTCTTAACTGCCAAATCATCTCTCCAGCCCGCAGCAGTGATTTGAAAAGATAGGGCTTCATAGCTCTAACACTTAAACACAAGTTCAACTCATTTCATCTTTATGACAGGGCTTCCCTGTGCAGCCTAGGTCGGCTTCCCTATCACAGTGCCTGCCTCAGCCTCTGAAGTACTGGGGACACAGCCTGCGCCATATTTGCCTCTCAACTTGACTCTTCTATGTGTTTTAATTTCTCATACCTGAGCTATCGGTCACAAATTACAACAAGCTATTTAATTTCTTGTAAAATGCTCTCCTCTATGTAAACCACAGTAGCTTTATTTTTTATTTGTTTTTAATATTTTCATTTGGTAAATTACTGTTATAATTCCCAGCATGGCCCACAAAGTTATAATTTTGATATATATATAGTGATTCCCCCAAAGCAGGACAGATTAAACAAATATGCAAAATAAATGTCTAAATCCAACTATTCAAAATCCAGTCCTCCAAAGAGGCTGTATGCTAAAACCAATGTAGCCACAATAAACTAAATAAAAAATGTGATGCAATCTGAAAACATTCATTTGGTTTTGGACAGTTGCCTAAATATGCATAAATGTGCCTTTTCTCATTCATTTGGTTTAAGACACAAAGAAAATAACTCCCAGAGTCATATTGGCTGTCATGGTAGTAGAGTCAGGTATAAAATTTATTTGGTTAATAGCTGCTAGTCAGTACCAACGTTATGACCCATGTAAAGTTTATTTTTGGTGTCTTTTGACATAGCCCTTTTTTTCTAAAGGAACTAAGAATATGAAAAACATTTTAGTTATTAGTTATTTTCTTCCATTTCTATTTGAGTTGCTTAAATTATCATACGGGGTAATTTAAACACAAAACTATAAAAAAACTACTTCATACACATTTTATATCCTTGAAGTTAGGGATATTTAACACTGCTTTCCAGAGATGATATGTTCAATTACACAGCAGACTTTAAGGGCCATCAAGTTTAAGCCTGCTCCAATACTGTTAGCTCATGCACAGGTGAGTTCTACTGCCCGTCAGAAGGGCTAGGACATTATCACACCAGTGCACAATTTAAAAGCACTACTTTACCAGGCAACTGCTTTTTGTAAATTTCAAGTAAGAGAGGCCACTGTTTCAGGCCAGGGCGCATGCCTCATTCATCTCTGTTTAACACCTTCATCTAACGTTCCCCCCATCCTTAAATATTTTATTTATTATAACTTATTCACTTTGTATCCCAGCTGTAGCCCCTTCCCAATCCCATCTGCCCTCCCTCTTCTCCTCCCATGCCCCTTTCCAAGTCACTGATAGGGAAGTCGTTTTCTCCTTCCATCTGACCCTAGCCTATCAAGGCTCATCAGGACTGGCTGCATTGTCTTCCTCTGTGGCCTGGCAAGGCTGTTCCCCAATAGAGAAAGGTGACCAAAGAACCACCCATTGAGTTCATGTCAGAGACAGTCCCTGTTCCCATTACTAGGGAACCCTCTTGGACACTGAGCTGCCATGGACTACATCTGTGCAGGGGTTCTAGGTTATCTCCATGAATAGTCCTTGTTTGGAGCATCAGTCTCAGAAAAGACCCTGTGCCCAGATTTTTTGGTTTTATTGCTTTCCTTGTGGAACTCCTGTTACCTCCAGGTCTTTCATCTCCCTGTTCTTTCATAAGATTCCCTGCACTCTGTCCAAAGTTTGGCTATGAGTCTCAGCATCTGCTTTAATACCTGCTGGGTAGAGTCTTTCAGAGGCCCTCTGTGGTAGGCTCCTGTCATTCCCAGTTTTCTCTCTCGTCTGATGTCCATCCTCTTTCCTTTCTGAATGAGGATTAAGCATTTTACCCATGGTCCACCTTCTAGCTCAACTTCTTTAGGTGTACAGATTTTAGTATGAATATACCATATTATATGTCTAATATCCACTTATGAGTATATACCATGGTGTGTCTTTTTGTTTCAGGGATACCTCACTCAGGATGATCTTTACTAGATCCTTCCATTTGCCTGCAAACTTCATGATTTTCTTGTTTATAATAGCTGACTAGTATTTCCATTGTGTAAATATACCACAAGTTCTGCATACATTCCTCCATTGAGGGACATCTGGGTTGTTTCCAGATTCTGGCTATTATGAATAGAGCTGCTATGAACATGGCTGAGTAAATGTCCTTGTTATGTACTTGAGCATATTTTAGATATATGCCTAGCAGTGGTATAGCTGGATCTTGAGGTAGCACTATTCCTAATTGTCTGAGAAAGAGCCAGATTGATTTCCAAAGTGGTTGTACAAGTTTACATTCCCACCAGCAATGGAAGAGGGTTTCCCTTTCTCCACAACCTCTCCAGCATGTGTTGTCACTTGTGTTTTTGCTATTAGCCATTCTGACCGGTATAAGGTGAAATTTCTGGGTCATTTTGATTTATTCACAGCCATATGATCGTTTGAGATAGGCACTGTCATGCTGCAGATCCAAATGTAAACAAACAGATTTTAAAATGCCACACATGGAGGTGATCCAAGATGGCAGCAAGCAAGGCACACCTTAATGGAAGGGGACAGGATCCGAATCTCTGAAATTGTTGAGTGAAGAGGCGGATGAAGTCAGAACACTACATTGAGGCTTCCTGGTGAGAGGGGACAACCCATGGATTGTAGAGTTTGGATCCAGGTCACCTGTGGACATCTCCTGGGTCTGAGGGGTGACTATTCGATCCCCCTGCACTTCCCCTTGCCCCAAGCACAGGCCTCCCTGCTCTGCAGAGGTGGCAGTGATTCCCCCAAGCAGGAGTATGTGTGCTCAGTGACCAAGTAAGGGTTTCCCTGCCTGGCCACCAAAGAGCGGACACCACTGAGCTGACGGATCTCCTACACTTTCATTTGCCTCTGCGGGCTCAAATCTGAGAGTAGAGAATAGGGAGAACCCCTGTGCTTTCCACTAGCCCATGAGTGAGTGAGTGCACTTTCAAGTGAGTGTGTGCAGAGCCCCAGATCCAGGGTTCCACTAAGCTAGCAGCCAGACATGGGATCCCTCTCACCCATACCCTCACTGTGGGTCAGCATTCTCAACACTGAAGCCCCTGTTCTGTGGGTTTCCCAGGGGAGTCCAGGCAAACAATTCCTGGAACCAAGATGGTGTAACCCAGGCAGATCTGAAAACGTGGAGGACAGTACTACAGGTTGGGGGCCACTGCGGTATTCAGGGCACTTGTGCATGCACACTGCACCCACAAACAGTGGCAGCACCCTCACCTATGCTTTTGCTCCACTCTACCAAGCATGTACACACTCTAACACCTGTCCTTCAAGGCACACTTCCATGCACACTCCCGTGCTTGCACACATGTGCCTGTGACCTTCTTCCCTTGGCTACAGCTGAAACACCAATATCCACTCTCGAACCAGTGGACCTCTCTCATCTTCCTGAAGAATACTCCAGGCACCAGAGACATAGGGGCCCAGTCTGAAGTACAGACTCCAGTAACAAACAGCCAAGGTTACGGATAAGCAGATGGGTAGGGGCCGGCGTAAGAATACATCCAACAAAAATCAGGACATCATGGCTTCACCAGCAACCCCCAAAATCAAGGGATATTCTAATTCATCTGAAACACAGGAAAATTATCTGAAGTCTATGTTAATCCAGTTATTAGAGGCACATAAAGAGGAAACAAACAAAGCTCTCAAAGAAATACAGGCAAATATAGTCAAACAAATAGAGGCACATGTAGAGGCACAAGTAGTGGCATATCGAGGGGAAATGAACAAAAAAATAGAGACCATTATGGAAAGACAGGAATCTACATCCAAACAGATGAAGGAAATGATGCAAGACATGAAAACAGAATTAGAATCAATAAAGAAAACACAAACAGAGAAAACCCTGGAGCTGGAGAACTTAGGAAAAGATCAGGAACTACAAAGGTAAACATCACCAACAGAATACAAGAGATGGAAGAGAGAATTTCAGGCACTGAAGATACAATTGCAGAAATTGATGCATCTCTCAAAGAAAAAGTAAAATTGGAAAAGTTCCAAACACAGAACATCCAAGAAATCAAGGACACCATGAAAAGATGAAATCTAAGAATAATAGAAATAGACAAAAAAGAAGATTCCAGGCTACAAGGTTCAGAAAAAAATTTCAAGAAAATCATAGAAGAAAATTTTCCACACTTAAAAAAAAAAGAGATGCCCATAAACATATAAGAGGCCTACAGAACACCAAATAGAGTAGAACAGAAAAGAAGCTCCTCACGTCACATAACAGTCAAAACACTAAATCTACAGAACAAAGAAAAAATATTGAAAGTAGCAAGGGAAAAAGGCCAAGTAACATATAAAGGTAGACCTCTCAGAATCACACCAGACTTCTCAGCTGAAACTATAAAAGCCAGAAGGGCCTGGACAGATGTCATGCAGATTCTAAGAGACCATAGATGCCAACCTAGACTACTGTATCCAGCAAAGTTTTCAATTAACATAAAAGGAGAAAATGAAATATTCCATGACAAAACTAAACTTAAACAACAACTACACAGCAACCTAGCCCTAAAGAAGATACTAGAAGGAAAACTCCAATCTAAGGAAATCAACCACACCCAAGAAAACACAGGATATAGATAACTTCACAACAAAAAATTAAAAGAAAACAAGCACAGAAACACAGTAACATCACTAATTCCACAGTAAAAGGAACTAACATTCATTGGCCACTATTATCTATCAACATCAACTGATTTAACTCTCCAATAAAAAGGCACAGACTAACGGAATGGTTGTGGAAACAGGATCCAACATTCTACTGCATGCAAGAAACACACCTCTGCAACAAAGATAAACACTACCTAAGAGTAAAGGACTAGAAAAAGGTTTTTCAAGCAAATGGACCCAGAAAACAAGCTATCCTAATACCTAACAAAATAGACTTTCAACCAAAATTAATCAAAAAAGATGAGGAGAGGCACTCCACTTTCATCAAAGGAAAAATCCACCAGGATTTTCACAATCCTGAACATCTATGCCCCAAATACAAGAGCACCTGAATTTGTAAATGAAACATTATTAAAGCTTAAATCACACATGGAGCTCAACACCTTAATAGTGGGAGACTTCAACATTCCACTCTCACAAAGGGACAGATCATCTAGACAGAGGCTAACTAGGGTAAAAATGACCTTACAGAGGTCCTAAATCAAATGGACCTAATAGATGTCTATAGAACCTTTCACCCAAATTCAAGAGTATACCTTCTTTTCACAGAACCATCTCAAAAACTGACCATATAGTTGGACACAAAGGAAGCGTCAACAGATAAAAAAAAGATTGAAATAATCCCTAGTATCCTATCAGAACACCATGGCCTAAAACTAGACCTTAACAACAACATAAATAACAAAAAATTCTACATACAGATGGAAACTAAACAATTTTCTACTCAATGACAGCTAGGTCTTTGGTACCATGCTCATAGCAGTGTTATCCATAATAGGCAGATTCTGGAAACAACCCAGATGTCTCTCAACTGAGGAATGGATACAGAAATTGTGGTACACTTACACAATGGAATACGACTCAACAATTAAAAACAAGGAAATCATGAAATTTGCATGCAAATGGTGGCAACTAATAAAGATCATCCTGAGTGAGGTATCCCAGAAACAGAAAGACACATGGTATATACTCACTTATAAGTGGATATTAGACATAGTCTATAGGATAAACATATTACAATCTGTACACCTAAAGAAACTAAGCAAGAACTCCTTCTGGGTAAGAGCTCAATACTCATTCAGAAAGGCAAACGGGATGGACATCAGAAGACGGAGAAAAGAGGGAACAGGACAGGAGCCTACCACAGAGGGCCTCATAAAGACTCTACCCAGCAGTGTATCAAAGCAGATGCTGAGACTCATAGCCAAACTTTGGGTAAAGTGCAGGAAATCTTATGAAAGAATGTAATGATGAAAGGCCTGGAAGGGATAGGAGTTACACAAAGAGAGCAACAGAACCAAAAATATCTGGGCCCAGAGGTCTTTTCTGAGACTGAGAGATAACCTAGAACCCTGCACAGATGTAGTCCATGGCAGCTCAGTCTTCAAGTGGGATCCCTAGTAATGGGAACACAGGCTATCTCTGACATGAACTCAGTGGCTGGCTCTTTGATCACCTCCCCTGAGGGGTGGGGGAGGGTCAATCTTACCAGGCCACAGAGGAAGACAATGCAGCCAGTCCTGATGAGCCTTGATAGGCTAGGGTCAGATGGAAGGGGAGGAGGACCTCTTCTATCAGTGGACTGGGGGAAGGGCATGGAAGGAGGGAGGGAGAGCTGGATTGATAAGGGACAAAGGAGAGGGTTATAGTTGGGATACAAAGTGAATAAATTGTAATAAATACATAAATAAATAAATTAAAAATGTGTCACACATAATAACTCAAAGTTTAACTCCAACTCTTTCCCTTCCAAAGTTGCCATTCCATCAAGACTGAGGAAGATCAGAAGCTCTGTAGCTTTATGAGCTGGGGCCGTAGCTGACAGGCAGGCAGCACAGCACTCAGGAGACAAGGTAATGAGGGATGCAGGTGTCACCACAGGGTCGATGTAGACACACACCATCAGGTTACTGTGACTTCAGGAAAGTTGCTATGTGGCATTACCACTTAAAGAGGAAACAGAGCCTCTCTCCTGTTCTCCCGTGAACCGTCTACACTGTGGACCCTGCCAGTGAACAGGCATGGAGAAATGCTGCCCTGTCCTCAATGTGGTACAGAGTTCTGGGGAGGGGACTGCTCTTGAGGCTGCCCTTGCTGTGAATTCTTCAGAAGATTCACTGTACTGGGCACTTGTGTCCTAGTGGTGCGAAGCCATACAGGGAGCAAAAGAACAACAAAAAGAGATAGCTCTACTTCTAGGCATCTATCCTAAAAATACTTAAAATGTGAATAAATTTTTAGAATAAATTTATATTAATGTTGTTTAAAATTATTGTATCATGTCAATGAGAGAAGACTGTAACTTATATGATTATGAATCAACTATTATCTTAAAACAGTAGATACAATCTTTATTAATTAAATTCAAGAAATTACGTTTTAATATTTTTCTGAATTTTATGGATGTATGGTAACAAATTACCTCTACAACCAGGAAACAGAAAGAACTGCTTTAACCATCTCTCCCACACAAATAAAACACTAATCCTCATAATTAGAAGTCGCCTCGCAGTAGGGAAAAATACTTACTGCTTCATCACCATCAGGAACTGGCTCATATAAGGATGGTACCCAAGCAAGAATATTGCAGTCCCTGCTGCCACTGTAAAGTTCCTGTGATGTAGAAAGCAAAGACTGGTTAATTTAGAGCTGGTATCATGAGCTGTATCAGTTTTTGAAATGATTAGAGGAAGTAGGCTAATTGTTAGGATAGATTAATTCCACTAATTTAATTTCTATTCATTAAACAAAATATGATGATACTCCTCAGTTTTTAAGTTAACATCTTTAAAGTTAACGTCTTTGTGCATGACGTTAGCACAACTTCACTGAAATGCTACAAAGCCTTTGGCTGTATCCTGAAATTTCATTCTCCAAAAAGATCATACCAATGTACTTTCTATTGCTTACAGTGTCAACTCACTGTCCTAATGGAATCTTTTCTGGAATAGCCGATATAACAGGAAGCTTTACTTTATATTTTACAATAGTACCAGGATATGTCAGTGCACAAACAGTGAGAAATCCAACAGAAATTCAGTATCTTAGCAGTTCTGTGAATACTTATAAGCATGTTTTTAAGTGTTAGAAAAAGTAAAATGTATAATAGCTTCGTTGGCAAAACTGAAGCATCTACAATAAAGACTCCAATGAAGAAACCACGAGTGTCTATGAAAATAGGCCAAAGGTTCCACTTAGCTTACAGTTGTCTCCCTGGCTGCTCTTCACAAGCTTCAAGACCATCCTGTCTGCTGAGACATTTACTAACTAGAAGGACCTGTGGCAGATGCAATGTGTGCCGATACTTTATGGACATGCTATTTGCTCTCCACTGAACACCGCTCACTCAACAAAACTGAAAATAAACACATAGTTTTTCTGATTTGCTCAGTTACTAAATCTGAGTTTGGAGCTAATAAAGTCATGGTATTTGGTGGGAAGTGGTGGCACATGACTGTAATCCCAGCACTTGGGAAGTAGAGGCAGGAGGATCGGGAGTTTCAGATTATTCTTGGCTGCATAGCAAGTGTGGAGCCAGCCTGGTTCATATGAGGCCTTGTTCCCAAAAGGAAAGAACAAAACAAAACAACATGGGCAGAGCACTTCACAGGTGACAGCCCATCCTAGCTTTCTGTCTGGTCAGGAACTGAGAGCAATCTCAAGTCTAGTGTTCTTTCATTTGTTTGTTGCGAGAGGGTTTCATACTATAGCCCAGGCTGGCTTGAAACTTGCTATGCAGCCCAGGCCAACTTTGAATTCTTGACAATAATCCAGAATGCCTGGATTACAGGTATTTGTGTGTCACCATTTCCAGATTACTTGGTATCTATGTATTTATGTATGTATGAGTGTATGAATGCATGCATGTTTTACCTTATGCATATATGTGTATCATGTGTGTGCCTGGTACATGAGGAGCCAGAGAGGGTGTCAGATTCCCTGAAACCAGAGTTAGAGATGGTTATGAGCTGCCATGTAAGAGAACCCAGGTTCTCTGTCAGAGTAGCAAATGTCTCTCGCTGCTAAGTCATCCCTCCAGGTCCCTCTTGGTACAGTTTTAACTTACTCTTAGACTACTATGATAAGATAAAAAGCTTCAGCCTAGAAGAAAGTCACACCTTATAGTAAGAATATCTTGTTTAAAATTTTGGTTCTAAGTCGAGCACAGTGGCACACACCTGTAATCCTAGCACTTAGGGAGGCAGAGGCAGGTGGATCTCTGTTAGTTCAAGGCTAGCCTGGTCTACAAAGCCAGTCCAGGAGAGCCAAGGCTACACAGAGAAACCCTGTTTCAAAAAAACAAAAACAAAAACAAAAACAATTTTTTTTTCTTGGTTGTGCCTCAGAAGGACTGACCCTTGGTCCTTCAGATGACAAATTTCTTTGAATAGAGAACCACGGACATCAACATCAACTTGCCGATTTGGGGCAAGTCAAATCACATCTCTGATACTCTGGAATTCTTTTCTCAAAAACAGAAATATTTACTAGTTTATCGGGACACTGACTAGTCAGGAAAGACACTGGCTTCAGAGTTAGGAGGTGGGTCCTTGGAAGCCCCCTGAGGCTGCTGGGCTGAGGTAATGTGGTATTGCTGAAGAGTTCTCAGAGTCACATGGGGGAACTGGTAGAGCAGCTATTTTCTGCCATCAGGATATTTAGTTAGTCATACATGTTAACAAAACAACCAACACACACACACACACACACACACACACACACACACACACACACACA